AGGTCAGGTCTGCAATCGCAGCCGAGTGCTTTAGCAGAGTTCGGTACCAGGTCCCAGCACAGTTGATTGAAAAATGCAGTTCTGCTTCATTTTACATTTTTGCTTGTTCTCGGATTAGACATTATATCGCTGAGGCATTTTCTTCCAGTTATTTTCAACTCCCCAGGAGTCTGTTGGGACTGGGGAGGTGTGAGGGATTTCTAGCAGCGTGTCGCTCTTACAAGAACAACCTACAGAGGGGAGAAAACCCCTGCTGCCGCCAGCCTGCCTTCAGGGGGGAGCCTTCCCTGGCACGCGAGGAAGTTTGCTGGGAAAGGGTAGTTGTCCTGGGTTTATCTTTTAATTTGGAAGAGGGCTTGCATGCTGTGAAAGTGCAAGCATTTTACTTAAAAAAAATTTGCTAAAATGGCAACTGAGTTATTTGACAAGTGGCAGGTAACAATTTACCCTACACGTCGAAACTGAAGCTGTAAAATACTTTTTACGATTTGCCTGTGAGGGAGAATCTAAAATAAAAGAGTTCACAGGCAATAACAAACCCTTCTTTGCAAAAATAAGATCAGGTTTCTTATTGAAGACAGAAGTCTGCTCGGCCGAGTGCTTCTGGGAGACCTAAGCTGGTGTGTTCCAATCCCATTTTCCTTGGGAGAGGAGAGGAATGAGCAGAAACGGATTGGCAGGAGGGAAGAGAAGAGAGGTGAAAAGGAGAATTTGGAGTGGGACATTTATTTCTTTTTAACGTGCTTATGGTCTGAATTAAAAAATTATGAGGAAGATTAACTCCTGAGGAAAAACCGTTCTGAAGGTTTAAGCTTTAAGTATGTCGAGATGTACCTCGAGGGGATTAAAGATGGAAGTAGAAAGAGTTAAAGAAGATGCAAACGTCTGGTTAAAATAGGAGTGGTGACTTAAATGCAACAGTAACTCTAAAATAAAATTTAAAAGAGAGTCTTGTTTGCTTTTAAGAATTTGATTACTTTTTATATTTACTGGTGTGGATGTAATTCTAATATACTTCGGGTAATTTATAGTTAGGGTTGGGTGTGATTAAAGGGGATACAGTTTTTCACATCTGTTCAAACACTGGCATGAAGCAGCCTTAGAAAAATGTCCAAAAACCGACTTAATGACTGAAGAGCAGAAATTTGCAGTGGAGGATTTGTTTATAAAAGCATGAAAGCTATTTAGAGAACCCTTGGCTGCTTCTTACCACCAACTTCCTCTCTCTTCCCTTGCTTTAGCTTTAGCCGTTTGCTATTTTATCTGGTGATAGCTGGGGAGGAGGAGGAAGGGATGGTAGATGGCCCACAGCTAAAGAACGTGTGTTTCTTTGCTTGCAAAATAGATGTGAAATTCTGGGTGCAGTGCTGATGTTTCGCTGACAGCTGGCCTGTCCCTTATCAGTTTCATGCAAATGAAGGCTTCTGCAGTGACCAAGGCTTTCCTTTTTTTTTTTTTTTTTTCCTGTTTTATAACTGGAGAATTGGTTTAAGGGAAAAAAATTAAAAAGATCCCAGGAATGGAAAAGGAACCCTTAGTTTTGGAATATTTCTCAAAGTGGAATTTTGGTTACCGAGTCCGAGTGGGCTGCCAATGTTCAGTGCGTTTTGAGATCATTCTTTCTCACATTAACTGTGTTGAAAGTGATTTTTCTAGGCAACTTCTCTTTCCTTTTCCATGATCTGTCATCACCAAAAAAAAAAGTAATTGTGGATGTTCCAACTTGATAATGAGTTTTCTGAAATAAACTGAATTAAGGTGTATGTGTCTGCCTTAATTAAAATCTTCCTTTTGTGCAGTGTCCAGAGGGCCTGTTGCGACCTCAGGAATTTGGCCTTCTGTTGTTGCCACTTGGCAACTTCGGGGTGTAATGAAAAGAAGGTGCCCATCCAAGTTCCTAAATGATGGTGTGATGGGGGCGAGTCACAGACTGAGTTAGGACTGATGCATGGTGGTACGTGGAACCCAGAGAAAAGCTCGGGCACTCAGCCACTGAGAGAGGTTGTTTGCACTGTATTTTAGGGAAACCGGGTTCTCTCTCTTGTCTCTGTCCCCTGAATGGACAATTGCAGGTCCTCTAGCCTGGTGCGTGTCTGCCTCTGGATGCCAGTTCATTCCTCTTATCTCTGCTATGACTGTGTTGATTTTCCAGTCTGTTCTCTGATGACTGAAGATTGCAAAAAAAACTCCATGTGTCGTTTTGAGCTTGGCAGTTTTCGTGGCACTCAACAGGGTATAGGTTAGGGAAGATCTGTTTCTGGATTTAAGAGCACAGGAGGCAGAGGAAGGTGTAATGCACACGCTCCCGGTTTTTAGAAAGTGTTCAAGCTTAATTCACCAGCCACATGTTTTGGCAAAGATCGTTCTTCCTTCTAACTCAGGTACGGTTAGGTCTGTATGTATCCCATTCATGTCACTCCTTTATAGTTTGCTTTTCCCAGGCAGTGCTTGGCTTCTTGTGGTGGAGCTGTTCACATTCCTTTGTTCCAGCAGGATACGCCTCTTGCTTGTGTAAACCAGGCTTCCTTTCACGAAGGGAGAAAAAGGCTTTCCTTTACCTTTTTGTCTGGGCCGCTTTCAGCTCTCGTAAATGTTGATTTCTTATCTTAAGTCTGTTTTTATGGTACGAGTTGTTTGCTACTTTGGTGGAGTCTCTTCTACTCCACCGTGTGAATAATGAGGCAGCTCTGTGTAACCTCTGGAATGCGGCGTGCCTGACTTCCCACCTGCGTTTGTGGCCGGGCGAGAGTTCCTGCCACGCTCAGGAGCTTGGCAGCCGTTAACGCGGGCTCTGAGAATGCTTTGCCCCATCACTGCTTTCGTTATGCCAGGTAGGAAGAGTGGTATGATGGTACGATGCCCTGTTTAGTGTATACATTAAAACCCGAAAACTTGCTCGTTTTGTTCACCCACCAGTTAGATAGCATTGCATCCCACTTTGCTCTTTCAGGTGACTTGGCCCTTTTTTTTTCCTCTTCGTTTTCTTTCTTTATGGCAGCGAATTCAGACCTTCCATTGTCCTTTCCAAGGCTTTGAAGAATGCAAGAAGATAATGGTCTTTTCCTGTGCTTCCGTATATCATCCCCTTGTTTTATTGCTCCAATTATCTTTGTCCTGCTCCTTTTCTCTGCGCTTAGTCTTTGATGTGGTGCAGGTCCAAGAAGCAACCACCCCAGTTTTTGAAACAATGAAAAATATTCTTCTTTTACAGACTTCTGTAAGTTACCTTTTGCTGAATAAAACTCACTGAAAATTAATATACTTGGAAATTTCTGGTGTAAACTACTGGGTTCTTAAAAGCTAGTTGGTTTCTCTTGAGAAGAAGTAGAACTTGACAGGCTGATCAGCAAAGTCCAGTGGTTTTGAGGCCTCTTCTAGAATTATTTGTGGAGTTGAGATTCCCCAGCTCTCTCGGGTCAAGTCTGATGCTCACAGAATAGTTTTGCCGATTCCTACAGTAGATGAGATTTTGAGCTGAGCTGTCTTGGTACAGCTGCTAAGTCAGGAGGTAATTGTGAGGAGAAGGTGGCGAGGGAATGCTTCCAGTGCTTCAAAAAGATCTGATCTGGCTCTGGTTCTTAGATAAAGTCTTCATCTGGAAGCGGTTGTGAATGAGGTGAGAATTACGTCCAGAGACATAATTTGTTTGTTATTTATATTCAGGGAAGTAAGAGCCTCGCAGACTGTACATGGGCTCGCAGTGGTCGTAAGATAATATTTGGTGTTTTGTTTCCTGTGACTTGATATTTATGCCTGTAGCTTCAAGTTTGTCCCTGCCTCTCCTGGCCAGAAAGAATTTTGATATCCAAACTATTTACAAAATGTTTTCCTAAAACCTCTGCCTGCAGCACTTTTTAATTCACTCCTAGTTCAGAGGTGCCAGCACTGTTAGTGAAGAAGTGTGAACGGGTGAAGTATTAAGTGTCCAGGAGCAAATAAACACTGGGGGTGCCCTGCTGATTTCAGAACTTAACGTTGCCTTGAGTCAGCTGCGGTTCCCTTTAAAATGCTTTGATACTGGTCCATGCCAGCAGAGCGATTCGGCGTTTGAAGGTGGAAGAACACATGGCAGTTTCTACAGCACCCTTCTAAGGATTTATCTCCGTGACCTTTTATGTGCTGCCCCTGTTTGTGTGCTTGCTAAGCAAGGCAAGCGCAAGCTTTTCCTTGCTGCTAACTTTTGAAAAAGACCACGATGGATATTAGCTGTTCATTCCCATTGTGACTTGCTACGGCCGTAGAGGGACTAGTGATGTCAGTTGATGACAAGGATTTGATGGTTGAGCTAGGGGTATGCTGGAGTTTTAACGTCTTTATTAAATGTATTTAGCTGCCTCGCAAAGCATCTGTAGAAAGTTTTGACATACTAGACTGAAAGTCTTTTCCAAACACTAGAAAATCTTTAAGATCTAGAACCTTTGTCCCCTTTGGGCCATTTTAAAAGCATAACGAATGATGCACTGACGTGCAGCAATTCTATTAGCATGTTGTCATAACTTTTATTACCACCTGCCTATCCAAGCCATCTGGGAGGGAAGGATGTAAGATATAATAGTGACAGTTGCTCAGAGGAAATGAAATAGTCCTGTGTGTCTCGAGCTCATACTGTTGTCTTGCCTTTAGAGCATGGAAGCCTTCTAAAACTTCTTTACATGTGTAGTAAGGTGGGGGTAATATTTAGGTACATCTTAAAATCCTGTTGAAATACAGACAGTAGCTGTTTCAATTTTTGCATCACACGATCATCCATGTCCTTCCCCAGTTACATGATTGGTGGCTATAGTGGTCTGGAGTTTGCTTCTTGGAGACCAGTGGAAGGTGCAGGAATTGAGGATTAACTTCTGCCCTCCACCCAGGAAACCCTTCAGCTTCTCCAGCAGGCTTGATGAATGTGCCATTGTAACATAAACAGTTGTTGTCGTCTCCGCTTTCCCTCCTCATTAATACCTCATTTTCATGCCATAAAGGGAGGTGTTACCACTAAATTTACCAATTTGTCTTCAAGAAGGACCCACTGGAGTGTTTTAACTGTGTAATTACCTTTTGCATTAAACCACTTCTCTAATGTGTGTGTAGAGATATTTAATGGCTTCAGTTTACCTGGAAGCAGAAGTCTTCTTACAGAAAACTGCTTATTGCTGATAAAAACCTTGTGTGGAGATTGGTTCCTTACCTGAACTGGTTTGGGTCTGTTCTGTGTAATTGTGACGCCAGGCAAAGAGAACAGCTTTGGCCTCTGGGCCAAAGTCACGGGGAAGATGCGGATGGACGCTGCTGCTGACTCCGGCCCTTCTTCCCATGGAGCTTTAGGGTCTCGCAGGGATGGGCTGTGCCCAAAATCCCTGTCAGGAGGAAGGCCAAGCAGGTTGTTGTGGCTTGAGGTTTAATTCGCACCTCTGTTTTCGCCAGGTATGTGGGGGGATGCGTGGAGAGCCACAGTGGTGGTGGTTCAGAGACTTCAAAAGTTATTTGAAGCTAAGTTAGTTTTTCGTCTTCTTCCCTCTAATGCATCTTAAATAAAAGCTGCGTTATTTCTCACTCTGCCTAAGGAGGTCTTTTAAAGGAGACTGGAATACTTCCATGTTGCAAGTACTTTGAGTAAAAAGATGTTAGTAAAAAACCTAAAATCACTGAAACTACAAGTTTAACCAAAAAAAAAAAAAAATCTGATTTCATGTCCCGCTCTCGTGTTTTATTTGTTCATTGTGCTTTCTTCTGGCCAAAGCTTTTCATTAGGCTTAGCGTCTCGTTGCTGAGTGCAGACAGGTTGCTGTCAGGGAGGAGGTTGAGCTTAAGAAACTTCATCCTTTCCCTGGCTGCTTATTACCCTCTCAGGAGTTGGTGTCCCTGCCGCTTGTGCCTGTGCTATAAAACAGATCACTGGAACAATGTGGATTAAAAATAGCCCCACCAGAACAATGGGACAGCCTGGGTGGAGTTGAGCCGTGCTGCTGCGAACCCCGAGGGGAAGGAGAAAGCGTGGGTCTCTCCTGCCCCTAGACTAAAGCCAGCAAAAAGGCATCCATCCCTTCCCCAGCGGAGCAGGAGGCGTTCTCCCTGCTTGGGCTGGAATTTGGGGTTTTATCTGTGCCCCAAAGAGTGTGACTGGAGACAGTGAAGCAATGGCCCGCTCGGAGGCAAGAGCGATGTTGCCCATGGAAGGGCAGTTAGCAGATGCTAGTTTTGAACACTTGGCTAATTCTGGCTTAACTTGAATGACACAGAGTGGTTTAATTGAGTTTCTTTGGAGGAATTGTGGTAATTTTAAGTTTAATGTAATAAGACCCACAGCAAGCACCTAAAGTGCATATTGATGTCCTGTTCTTTTTCAAATGTTCATTTTTAAATCAACGTTTTAAAGTATTTTTTTTCCCATTCCACATGCACAGCACAAACTGCAAATAAAACTTTGTAAGGCAGTTTGGATCAGCGAGCACTGGGTTTACATTAGTGCGAGCTGTCTGCAGTTGGGATCTTACCGAGTTAGTTGTTTGCTCCGGGCTTTGCTCCCATAAACAAATTTTCATCAGGGGTGCATCTCTGCAGGGTTAAATACTGATAGCCAGGATCTCCGTCAGTGTTTGCATGGGCTCACTTGTGCTTTTTTAAAGGAAACTAAACCAGAAAAAGCCCCCCTCTTGTTTTACTGTTAGACAACGCCCGTGTACCCGTATTTCCAGGTGCTCCCTGAAGGTGCGTGGAACTCAAACGTCAAGTATCCAGCCAGAAGCTGGAGTGGGGGCTGATGAAGTCTGGTCTGCAGCTGGAGCCTGCGCTCAAATCCAGACCTGCCCTGCAACCGCGCTTAAAGACTCCAAATTATGTTGATAGCTGCTTTGGAGGAGTTGTGTGCATATATATTTATGGTCTTATTGTAAATATTCTGTTGGTTTGAGGCGTGGGGTTTTAGGTACATATTGTCAGCGCTTTCCACCAATTCCTTTCAAGAACTGACCACTCGGCCTTCGTCAAGAGCGTGAGCCTCTGCTTTACCTTTCTCCCCCAATGAACCTCGGTATCGGCCTTTGTCTTTAAAGCAATTTGTATCACAAGATAACAATATTTTGTCCTTTACTCACCTTTTTATTTTTTATCCTTTTGAGGACAAAACTAACAGTAATTAAGCTCTTGTGGTTCGCTGGCTGTCCTGTGCAGTAAGAGGAAGGCAGATAACGACCACCTGCGAAACAGAAAGTGTTTAGCAGAAGGCTAAACTGTAAGGCATGGGATGCTGTTATAGCTGCCAAAATCGTGAGTCCTAGTTTCCAAGCTCATTTTTGGAGACGTTTTGTGTATCTGCCTTGGGGATCGGGACTCAGAAGTAAAAAATGGGTTGTTTATTCTATTTTGGATTTGGTAACTAGCTGCCTGGTTTATCAGTTGTGCCTGTGTATTCATTCAGGTGTCTTGCAGTGGTTTTAAGTTTTAACCCTGTGTGTTCTCTGCGGATGACAGTTTGACTTGGCACTTAGAAGTTGGGAACTTCACTGGAGTATAAAGGCGATGAGAATTTCCCTCTGGGCAAAGGTATTCAGTTTGAAGTAGAGAAATCATTCCCTAATAGTAAGGCTTCAGGAGAAGGTTTAAGCTATACAAAATTATTCTGTTGATGCTACCGGGGTCACTCTGAACCTGGGGTTTTGTTTTGCTGTTGAGTTTGGGTTGCATGTTGCTACCTGTAGCTTTTTCAGATTAAGAACTTTATTTGTCAGATCTCATCTCTGATAGTCTGAGACTCTCAAAATGAAAATGGGGAGTAAGTAGTGAGTTGAAATGGTGGCCTCGGGGTGAAGTAGTAAATCCCAAGTCAAGTGGGGAGTCTCCTATTTGAGTCTTGGCCTCGTTAAAGGAAATTATATGCTATGCTTATTGCTATAAAGGGCTGCATATTGAAAAAATGAGTGGAGGGGTTATATCCCCTCTTCAGGAAACACCTGGTAACGCTTTGAAATGTTTCAATGCAACATCATACTTTGAAGGTGCTGGGGGGAAGCATGATGGCTTTAACTGGTGTCCCATGAAATTTAAGAGCACTCCTGAAGGCTTTTTCTTTGTTCTTATTTTTGGGTTTGTTTGGTTTTTTTTCTCTTTTTGGGGACAGGGTGAAGATCAACTATAATTTTCTTCTGCTGAGTGGTGAAATTCTGTTTAATCTTCAAACTGGCGATGTCAAGGGTGCCGAGTCCGCCTCCTCCGGCAGAAATGTCGAGTGGACCTGTAGCAGAGAGCTGGTGTTACACTCAGGTAAGTCTGCAGTGTGCTGAGATGTTCTTGATGTAACGTGATTTAGAGACATGTATTCGAAACAAGTTTAGAGTCTGGATTTTCCGATGATGTCACGCTTGCTAACAGTGAGCAACAGCAGAATGTTACCCTCTGCCCTTGGCAGGACTTTGGGGGAGGCAGTTGGAGAAGTTGGAGTGGTCCAGCTGCCACTACCAGCCATTTCCAGACACTGTTGTCTTGTGCTTGGGGCTTGTTTGTCACGCAGGTGACTCAGTAAAACTTCCAGGTTTTCAGTTTTGCCCTTAAGTTGGCCAGGGTGAATGGGCATGACACTAAACCGCCTATTGTCCTCTGTTTTAAGATCAAGGTGGTGAAGTTTTCCTACATGTGGACCATAAACAACTTCAGCTTCTGCCGAGAAGAAATGGGTGAGGTCATCAAAAGCTCAACCTTTTCATCTGGAGCCAATGATAAACTCAAATGGTAAGAACTAGAGCAGAGAGGTTCACCCTGGTGTACAACTGTGTGAAAGAATTTGGGCTTCTATAACAGAGGAAATATAAAAAAAAAAATACTTGTACTGCCCAGGGGTTCTTGCTTTCTTGGATGCACAACATATGCACAGGGAGAAAGTGCTGTTGCTTCAGCATGGTGTTCGGGGACACAAAGCAAATGTGAGGATCTGACTGTTTGCAGTGTTTCTCTGATAATGGAAAACATCAGAAGTAATGGAAGCTGTGGCTGGAAGGGAGCCTACATCCTCCTGCCTTGAAGCAGAGACGTGCCGTGGAAGATTATTAATGCTTTAAGTTGGGTTTTTTTGACTGTTTATCTTAACAAGTTCTTATAAGCCAATGAGAGTCCACAGCTCTTATTTCAGCCTCCCAGTTTCAGTCCCTAATATTCCATGTTGTTAAAAAAGGTTATTTTTGCCCACACTCTAAATCCTGCAATTTAAGACTATTGCTACTGTATTGCCTTTCTCTTCAGGGCAGCTTTTTGTGAATTTGGAGACTTAACATTGTTACTTGGATCACCTCTGTGTTCTATGACTCCTTCTGCCCAGGAGTTTCTGTTTCTTAAAGATGACATTATTTTTACCCTTTTCCTTTCCTTTAAAACCTTTCTTATCTTCCCTGAGTTCTCAAGTAATTTCCAGTAACTGGGTGGACTTTGGTCAGAATATGAATCTGCTGTGAGTTGTGTCTGACCTCGTAGATCCATGGACACCTGGTTCCTTATTTTATGCCTTGTTGGTGATGTTAAGTGTTTTAGCATTTTTCTTTAAACCTCCTTAGTATAGACTGCAGCAAACTACCACCAAATAATTGTGTGTGTGTGAGAGACAATTTGTGCTCCCTTCCTTTGGGTGGCAGACCTGTGCTTTCCTTGGACTGCTTTTTGCTATTAAATCGCTTACCTTTGTAACCTTTGCTAGTCAGATCTCATTCTAATGTCTAGATCTGTTTGATTTTTTTTTTTTTTCTTTTTTTTTGGTCCTTGTGTGTTTGAGTTGTTAGTCATTTGGCCTAGTTTTTGCTTCTTGTTAGATTCTGTGTCAAGTTTCAGGTCATGGAAGTGCTTATGAGTTAGCCTCTTCCTGTACCTACTACCTTTTCTTCACATAGAGTATTCTTCTCTTTTTGCCCTAGTATTATGTTTTTGAGAAACCACCAGCCTTCCAGAAATCCATTTTTCCTTTCAGTTGCTTTCTGCGGAATTCTACCGATCGTTTCTCTGGATTTGTTGCACTTCCTCGAATCCATTGCCTCCATTCTACCATTCCCTTCACATCCCTTTTTGTGAAAGTTGGCATCCAGGATAGTTTTCAGTCATTTAAACGATATCCCCCTCCTCTTCCCCCGTGTTTTTTTTCAATTGGTTTGCCCGTAGTTACCACCTGTATATTATTATCTGTCTTGGAGATGTAGCTCGAGGCTGACTGTAGCATGCACTTCCGCTCTATTTACCTAGCTCTTCCTTCCTTGTGGTTCAGTGGCTGTTAAACAGAACTTGTTTGCTGTACATTTAATTGTGAAAATTCTGCAATGCCCTTTCTCTGAAAGCTGTGAATGACCTGCCAAAAACTGTTCCTGACATCTCATTCAGATGCCTGCTTCTACAGGTGTTTACGTGTGAACCCTAAGGGCTTGGATGAAGAAAGTAAAGATTATCTGTCCCTCTACCTGTTGCTGGTGAGCTGTCCAAAAAGTGAAGTTCGAGCAAAGTTCAAATTCTCCATCCTGAACGCTAAAGGAGAAGAAACCAAAGCAATGGGTGTGTAAAAAACAAAACAAAACAAAACAAAAAAAACCCACCCCAACAAAAAACAAACCAAAACCCCCTCTTTCTGTCTGATGGGGTCAGTTGTTTGTCTTTTGCCATTTGATCAAGCGAGTCACTCGGCTGGGGTTTAAGCACCATATCTGTCTTTCAGAGAGCCAGCGAGCATATCGATTTGTACAAGGCAAGGACTGGGGATTCAAAAAATTTATTAGAAGAGACTTTCTTTTGGATGAGGCCAATGGACTTCTTCCAGATGACAAACTCACTCTCTTCTGTGAGGTAAGTCACTGTGCAGCTGAAAGAATAGCAGTTCCATTAGCTAAAGGTAGATGTGACCTTATCCTTCATCATTGCTTTTAAGGAGTCAGAGGTACCAGGAGAAATACTGGATGTTTATATGGCACTTAGATTGTACTTGTGCGTGTGTGTGCCGGTGTGGCTGGTGGCATTTCTCTGTGTGATTCATCGCATTTCACTTCCATTTATTTTTTGTTACTTTGTATTTGTCTTTTACCTGTGAGGATGATAGGAATTAAGCATGTTTGGTTATCATTTCGCTTCTGGTTTAGTGTTATCATCCATCTGTTTGTACTCCTTAATTTGAAATTCGCTTGGGATAACAACCCACACTAGCTCTCTAGTGGAAACTGGCCCACCTATCACTTGCCTATGGAACAAAGAAGAGTTCTCTGTTTTCCTAAGTGTGTCTATACAGCCAACAAAAAGAAAAAGCTAAGAAAAAGGAATGTTACAGTAACCACAATTTTCTGTTCATTGTGTTTGTATTTTTCTCCAATCACTAATGCTACTTTCAGCCAAAGATGCAGACAGTTATTTCTAAAACTACGTATTTAAGTTGACAAACCTTAATGAGCAAATTTAAACTTTCTAATTTAGTGTCTTCAGAGCTTCTGCTGTCTTATTTCCATTGTCCTTTTAACTGCAAAATACCTCCTGTAGCTGTGATTTTTGCCAGAAGACAGGTAGAACAAGTTGTTCTCTCTTTGGATCTCCTGCAGGGTTTTTATGGGAGTCTTTTCTTTTGCTGTGTTTTCTTTCAGAAGCGAAAGAAATGCTTCAGTCAGAGTTCTTCGACAGCTGGGGTTTTTTGGGGGGCTGGGTTTTCTGGTTGGTTTTTTTTTTTTTTCCCAGTACTGTTTGGCCATCATAAGCATGCACATATTTAAATTAACAAGCAATCTCCTAAAGGATGTGTATTCAGTCAGTAGCATAATTTATTACTGTCGTGGAGGGGGCCCTTCCTTTAACACTTGTAGCAGATTGGGAGGCGAAGAGGACAGTGCCTTGGATGACACCTCTGTAGGTGTCTGGCGATTACTCCTGACTTTATGATAAAAGAGCCAGAAAATTTACAATTGTGGAGCAAAACTCAAAAATTAGTGTCTGGGAAGGGAACTTGGGAAGTACGATGTAGATAAACCTGAGATCCACCAGTAGTCTTGGCAACTAGTACTAATTCAAGTCACTCCACTCGTTACTGAATTACTCCCTTCAGAAGCCTCAGCTCAGTGGTTTTGTTTGTTCTGGATGAAGAGAAAACTTGTTGCTGGCTTCACCTGGCCGTGGTATCTTCTGTTCTCTCAGTTTGTTCTGCAGCCTCGCATGTAAGAAATCTTAAGTTCGGTGATATCAGAGGGGAAGGTTTTGCTGTCTGGAAACAGTTTGGCGAGAACTTTCAACAGCTTGGTTTTGGGTTCCCCCCCCCCCCTTTTTTTTTTTTTCTTTTTCTTCCTTGAGCTTATAAGTAAGTCTCTTAGCATGTAAACCGGTGTGCCATATGCTCGCCTAATGCTTTCCTGCTGGCCCCAGGTGCTAAGTGACGCTGCTCACATCTGTACTTTCAGCAAGCGTGTTTTGTATGTAGAAACTCTCGAAGGAGTTAGCAATACTGGATGCTGAGATGCTTGTGATGTGGGGATATATTGGCGTTTTCTGCAGACCAGAAGGTTGCTGAGTGTCTCTGCTGCACCTTCTCATTGCTTTATTAGAGTTAAAAGGAAAAAGCTTTTTGGCTCTCTGCTCATGTCTGGTGCTGAACACAGATAATGTCCT